ATGGGTTAAAGTCTTTATCAGTGATTCGTTCTGATTGCCCCTTATGAGAATTTGAAGTTATTAGAATATTAGTGAGACAGGAATTTTCTCATGCATGCACACGGTGTTCTAGCATCGACCGAACGTGTAAGTCCATCCGCCCAGCCTCTAGCCTTGGAAGTTATAGCCCAAGAGCTTTTGGCGAGGCTGTGGTGCGAGTAGCCGTAGCCCTTTCCCTATAATTAGGTTCATCCTTAGATTCTGAGACCAGCTTACGCTTAGACAGCGATGGACCTCTTGGACTGAAGCTTTTCGACACTAATGCGGAAGAAATATTATGGAATAGAGGATATAAGATTTTATTGAGGTTATTTCCCTCAAAATTAACTCGTCTAGCGATTGCACTTATTTTTACTTAATAGTTTGGGAGTTACAATTCCGCAGTCACATTGACGATGCCCAACTACAGTCAGCTCTCGTGAATTCGAATTTCCCTTGAACTACGAGTTATTTGGAGGTCACTGTATGTGTTTGGTAGAGTTGTGACGACATGGATACAATTAAGTTTTTTCGATTCGTTCAGCATGCCTGAAGTATGAAGGGAGAAAGCTTATACATTTTGGAGTAAATTTTGAATCGACCGTTCCAAGGTTGCAATCCATGCAGCATTAGTTGCACACTTCGCCCTCAAGTACCGGTAGATTCTCTCTGCTTCTAACGGCAGGGCCGACCATTGGCCGACCGACTGGCCATTTCGCCGCCCTATGCGAAGAGACTAACTCTCATTCTTATCACTTGGGGTATTGTGGCATGCCTATATCGACTAGCGACCATCATTTACCATTCGACTGCGACCCCCAAAAGAACCCACTTCTTTGGACATCGCGACGGACTACGTGGGCCGCCCACAAGTCCTACTTGAGCCACCTACAAGTCCTACGTGGGCCGCCCAGGTCCATGCTCCATGCAAGGCGAAGGCCTTGGAAGTTCTTATAGGGTCGAAATAAGAGATGCCCCGTAATTCGACATCTCATTTGAGACGACTCTCGATTCACCGTTAAATCGATGGCCGTCTGGGCAATTAATCAGACGCACTCGAATCAATCCAGCTCGTTTTGGTGGTACTGGGTCCTGGTACCTTTTGTTCCTGAAACGTAAGGGACTTGGTAAAACTATTGATAAATCGGCAGTTCTGATACTGAGTCGCGACCCCCCATGGTTAGCGAAGGGGCCACAGGGGGGTAGCCAAGGGGTCACAGGGGGGCCGTGCAGATGCTGCTCATCTCTTTTCTCTCGCTGCTTTCGCCAAATCAGGCTTTACACTAGGAACATTTTCGGGTCCTTTTTGTGCTATTAATCGGGAGAAAAAAAGCGGAGGAACAGCCGGGTAAATAGGTCACAAAGGAGCTATCGGAAGTAAAGCTCATTGTACAGGGTGGCCAGAAAGTTTCTGCCGTTTAACAAGAAACCTGTGCTAATAATATGAAAACGAATTTACTTTCTAGAAAGTGTACTACAATTTTGACGGAATCCGAAACACAGAATCACAAATAAAAGTTCTCAATTCTTCTAAGTATGGCGATTAATTAATTGCCACTGATTAATCATTCTGAGGGAACGATTCCCCGTTGAACTCTGTTTCTCGGTCTTGGCTAAGATTAAGATTAACTCAGATTAACCATCGAAGAAACGTAATCCTGTTGAGCATATTATTGCTTGGAGGAAAATTAATAACGAAAAAAAAATATTGAATTGCCGGAAAGTTTCAAACGAACTTTTGGTCAGTTTTAGACAGCAATAATTATTTTTAAAGCTTTAAAACTGAACAAAAATAAAAGAGTAATGCGTAATTAATAAATTAATATGACCTAATTTTAATTTGTCGGTTTTGAAAAAATCCCGACCCGGCCCGGCCCAATCCAAGCAGCTAAAATTCCGTCTTTTGTGCCAATTTTGTGCCAATGCGAAAAAAATATGCACCATCGGGACCCTTGAATCACCGAGCAGGCGACGCAGCAGGGTCGTGCAATGTCGTGCAATGTCGCAAGTATTCTGCGATGGACTTCAGGTACGAGAAGCACAAAATGCTGATATTTCTTTGACTGAAAGGGTCAGAAATTTTCTGGCCATCCTGTAGCCTTCTCGGAAACTTTTTTTCCTCTGTAATTTTAACGATCAGATAAAAATCTTTTTATTGTCTGCGTTACACCTTTAGATATAATTAACATTTTGCCAGGGTTTCCTGGAAAAATTCGGCTAATTACTTTTAATATTTATAAGTACTCAATAGTACTTTCAATAACACCGTGTAAATCAAGTACTTCAAGTACTCCACATTTCTCCTCCTGCTCCTCAAACTCTCTTTATGCGTGCAGGCCGAAATCCATGTGTTTTGCGTAATCGACAGATGCGAAGCCAGCGCCCTCTGATTCGACTTGCACGAAACGATACGAGAATCTCGGCCAACTCTCCAGGGAACAAGGATCGATCCCCAGCGTTATAAAAAAAAAAAAGACGAGGCGGCGGGCATTCCGCATTCTCGAGTGAAACCGAAGGTTTGTCACTTCGGTCTCGTTTTACCCCCCCCCCCCCTCTCTGTGCAAGGGTCACATCTCGACCGGGATTTTGGCGCCAAGTGGGATAAATTCGCAAATTCACGATAATTCCTACTGCATGCCGGCTCACTTCGACGTGAAATAGTTGGAAACTTGCAATGCTCGACTCCCATGAACACGCGAAAATGAATCATGCATGTAAATTGCATCAGTTGTTGAACCCCATCGCCCAAGGCGTTGATCGAAAAATCGACGTGTTTTTAGGGGCTCGGCCTCGGAATTCATTCGTTTCAGAGGCAGTTAGCCATCAGGCAGGTAGTGATTTTCTGCGATCTCGGACTCGAACTGCAATTCAAGTTCGTGCGAGATACGACTCCACTCTACAAATGATGCAGATTCTGGACAATTTTTACTCACAGTGCTTTTGCTTCTTCTTCTCTCTCATGATTGACCTTGAGTAACTTGGATTTCTCCATTTCTTTCAGGTACTTCTTCTCTACTTTCTTTGTTACTGAAAAGATTCACTCGATGAAGCAAAGAAGGAGATATAGTTGTCATATATTTTTATTATTTCAGTAATTTTAAATATCTGCAAAAGTAAAGGAACTTACCACTGCAGAAAAAAAAAACACTCCATGTTTTTCCCATCCACTCTTTGGCTCAACATCACTTAAGAACCCCTACTTCTTCTGGATTGTGAAGCATTCCTTGATCCATGGCACAATCGCTAGGGATTAAACTAATCTGATCGCTCTGGGAAAAATCATAATGGCAATAATGAGTTACTTTGCAATAGGAAATGCAAATATGAATTCATGGCCATAACTTAACATGCTTGTCTTTGACTCGTTTTGCTTCTGGTGTGCACACGGTATTAAGCAAATGCTGCGTCTCGTGGAAGAAAGGAAAATGGAGTCCATCTTCTGGGTCCAGAAAGTCAAGAAATCATGCCGTTCCAACACAAAGAAATAGCAACAAATCACACTGCTTAAAAAATAGCATGCAAATACCATAGTCAAATACACATTGCGTGAATACTGCACTGAGCAGCAAGTACCAAGACTAATTTTTAGAATTCAATTTTGAAGTTTTCTACCCCCATACACGACTTCCTATCCTCATTTCGATTTCAATTTCTTTCAAATTAGTACATAATTAGGATAATTAGGCATCATGCAAAGGAATTATTTGCCCTCATCCCTCCTTACCAGAATACACTTCTTATCCAACATATTCGGCTGAACAAACTGGATCAGAGAAAGATAAGCCACCAAAACTTCCAACAGTTTTTCTTTTCCGGAAATGATTCGACCAGAATCATTCTGAGCGAATAAATAAATATATATATATATATATTTTAAATTCCTGTGAGAAAGGGTCGGGGGGAGTAAACGGCAGAAAATCCCTTTCGCAAATGTTTGCCAAAGGCCTTCACGAAAGTGGAACGAGCCAAATTCTCTCCGCGAAAAAAATTCCATCCGCAGGATTAAATGCGAGTCATCAGCCATCAGTCATCAGTCGCGAATGACCCAAGGAGAGCATCTGCCTGCGTCTTCAGTTTCGCGTTGGGCGTGAATTCCTCGGAGGAATCCCCCACTCCGTCCTTTATCCTTATTTCCTTGTCCCTATGATGACGATGAAGGGCCAAGGTCAAGGTCACCGAGCGATCCGAGATTCTCTTTCGTTTTTTTTTTTTTTGCAAGCAGTAAATCACCTTTCATCATCAATCGATGCCGGTCACGTTTGGAACCCGCAAGACCCCATTCCCGAAGTCCCTAGCACTCAAGGCTCGGCCGGTGTTAATTTTTTAACTACCTCATTATGCATTCCCTTTCACAGATTTTTGCATTGCAAAAGGAACATGCCGGAATCTCCATGACGGCGTGCAGCGAAAGTGAAATTTCATGTTTTTCTATCCGGTGATGATTCCTTGAGATAATCCATGCGGCCTTCTCAGGAATTTAAGGAACTGCCAGATCTCGCTCGTTTGTTTCTTAATTTCTCGAAACCTTTTAAAGGGCGCCCATGACAAGTGAATGCGATTTAATTTTTTTTTTCCTTTCCTTCGGTAAATCATTTTTTCACAGAAATAATGCAAAACGGTACGTCGACGAAAGTTTTGTCACATGAGAATCCTCACCTGCTACTGAATGCTCATTGCTTAGCAATTTCGCTGCTGGAGCACCAAAAGACAAGCATGCAAGGAAGCATGCGCTGCGAGTTCGCTGATATCAGCCGTGAGAATTTTTTTTTTTTAACTTGTGCGGATTATACGTGATGGCGGGCTGAGACCATTTTATTATTTTTTAAATGGTACTTTAGCTTCTTATGCTAGGCCGTCGTAGTTTTCGCCGTTGTTCGCGGCAATAAAATGTTTGAACATTTTCGATTTTGAGTGGCATTATCCTTATCCTTCCATAAATATACTCTCCCTACGAATAAAAGAATTACTCAGCGTGTTTGCGGATGGTCAAGTGTTTATATCATTTGCCTTCCCAAGTACTTTGAAGCAATAGGTTCCGGAATCTCTCTCTGAAAGAGATTGTACTCTTTTTTAAATTTAAACAAGGTTGACCGGTACAGGTTCTCCATTTCTTGGCCCCGAGTCCTCCCGAACGGCACTGCAGACAACATTAACCAAGCCGGAGTCGATTACTACAACAACCTCATCGACGCCCTCATATCCAACGGCATTCAACCCATGGTCAGCCCATCCGCATTATACCGTCATACTCTTCTCATTATCCCCACAACCAACATGAACGCCCTCGCACGAGCCCAAGCCTCAACGGTCGGCGAAGAGAGGATGTCGCTGCACTCCATCTTACTGGATCGAGTGCATCGACATCCTTCTCACCGAAGGCATGCTTGGGATGGGGGGGAGAAATTTGGTTGCGGGGGGGCTAGTCTTCATAGTATTGTTTGATCATAAAGTCTGGAAACGATGGGAAATTCTTGAAACACGAACACTAGACAATTACAAATGTTCCAAATGTGTGTTGTGCAGCCTTCTTCGTCCACGCGACAAGTTCACTTCAATTTGTTCCTCTTTTTTGCCTAAGACGTACTTATAATCGGCATTCATGCCCTAACAATAAACGAATATATTTATTTTTCATCGTTTCCGGGCTTTATAATCGCCCTGTTGAATTATTTATGCGGACCAGATCCGGATTGTTATTGGGTTCTTTCCTTCCTTGTGCGACCAAACTCGCGACCTTCTCTCATAAATATGCATAAGGTTGGAAAATGAAGGATTGTGTTGTCTCGTCTCGCTTTCTTCGCAGCTGTCCTTCAAGCCATAAATTAAATCCTCAAAAGAAACCTGGATCTCGGTAAACAGAGCAGACGAGGGTTTTCCCTGCCGAAGCATTCATTGAATTCCCCCTGGAACAATGGGTTAGAATTCTTGACAATGGGTTAGAATTCTTGACAATGGGTTAGAATTATTGACAATGAGTTAGGATTCTTGACAATGGGTTAGAATTCTTGACAATGGGTTAGAATTCTTGACAATGGGTTAGAATTCTGTTGCGAGAATCTCTACAAGCCTGTGCTTACCCAGGCCGTAGGCTAGGGGGAAGAACACGGGACGATGCGGATTAATACACGATTGGGTGCGAACAGGTTAACACCTTCGCGCACCGCTCCGTTTTTTGAGTCCTTTCGCCTAGCACACGGCTGAAAAGGTGATAGCCTTGCAGGCATCGAGCGTCAGACTAAAATAACAGAGGCTTAGGTCAGAGCGGCGGGGGGAAAATATTTGGAGACTGCCACTGTCCATGCGCTAGTGGTTCTTCGTAAAATTGACATTCGCAACCTTTTTTGTATGCTCGATGCTACAAGTGACCTGATCATTGCAATTGGGGGAGAGGGAAAAAATACACGTGTTCGTTATTTAGGAGGGATATTATTTATACGAGATGCCTCACGATTTATTTCCACTACCATTTCTCGAAGAAGTGGGACCCCTTATTAAATTCCTATATACCTAAATTTTTAAGCTATCTCTTTTTCATTGTTATTTAAGTAATTTGTTTGAAAAGGGATTACTATATATCTTTCTCTTGAATCATAATCCCGAGAAAATGCAATGTCTCAGTTCTGGTAGAACATAACAAGGTGTACAAAAATCTGGCCTTTTCAATCTAAACATGAATTGATTAAGGTTCATTATGAATTAAGTTCAGATGTCTAATTGAAATACCGACCTAATTGCGTTCGACCATCTGCCATTAATCCTTTAGTTTCCGCGGAAGTTTTGATTTTTTCTTGAGTTTTTCCAATGCAGCCGATTAGGTCGAGCTTTGCAAGCATGGTGATGATGGCCTTTTTTTCATGTAACGGGGAAGTAGGCCAGGTTAATGCTCATCGTTGAGGTCGAGGAGACGTTCGAGCAGTTTTTCAGATCCGATGGAAGAAGCAAATACAGGTCCAGGAGCTTTCTTGGCTGTGTTTTGAAGGGATAGGATTATTTTCTCTTTAGCGATTGGGCGTGTCAGCCTCCCTGGGTCCGGGTGGGATGGGGTGTTTCCGATTTGGGAGGTAATCTCCTGTTGTTGGGTCAGCTGTTCTGAGCGGGCATTGGTGTCGAGCAGGGATGGTGACTCAGACATGGCTTCGTCTGGGATTTCACGAGCAGTCTGGGGCAAGTCCTTTTATGCGAGGTGGGGGTGGGGGCGAGGAGAGGGAGGAAATGAAGAGCGTGAGCCCTAGCTTAGGTGCATGACCTTGTCTCATTCATACCTTGATGTCTTTGAATTAGGCGACACTTTATCACTGGGACCTGCCCCAAGCCCTGCAGGATAGGGGAGGCTGGCTCAACCCTGAAAGCCAAGACTGGTTCATGGATTACGCACACATATGCTTCGAGGCATTCGGCGACCGGGTGAAGCTATGGATCACCTTCAACGAACCGGCGGGAGTTGTATGCGGGGGATATGGCTCCGGAGATGCTCCCCCAGGCATCAATGATGCACCAGCCGAGAAACCTTACCAGGCGGCTCGTAACATCCTTCTTGCCCACGCGAAGACTTATCGGCTGTATCAAGAGGAGTTCTCTGCTTCCCAATTTGGTATGTCAGGAAAGAAGACAATTCATGCAGTCTTCAAGGACTTTTGAGATGCGAATAGAAGCAAAATTCTCGGTGGAAGGAATCGCAAATGGGGAGTTTTCATAAGCGTCATAACCCCTGGATAGGTCAAGTCGGTATCTCGTTGAGCTCGGATCACTTCGAGGCGTTGAACCCGGCGGACCCAGAGGATGTGGCAGCGGCAGCCCGTCAGACGGAGTTCTGCCTGGGATGGTTCGCCGATCCCATCTACTTCGGCAACTACCCGCAGTCCATGATCGACAAGGTCGCCTTTCCTTCCTAGGTTGATTCTACTCTCATGATCGTACGTTCTCCATCTGGAGATTCCATTTCGAACTGAATGAGTAGCGCCCAAAAACCAATTTACGACGCTGCCAAGTGAATTCAATTACATGATTATGTAAAAAAAAAAAAGTAAAAAACTTGAAACACAAAAATTAAAAGTCCTTATTTCATAGTTACATTCACAAGTAAAATTCATATTCCAAAAAGCAAATATTCACCTGTCACAAGAATAACTTATTATTTTTCATGCGTGGAAATTCTCATTCTCTCCCTACAGTTGAGCGATTCAAAAGTCCTCTAGCGGGCTGTTCTCATAGGCGGAAGTGTGCTAAGATTATCCTTTTTTTTCACTCTCAGTTCAAAGTAAAACCATCTCGCTCTGTTGAAAAGGGAGAAATGTTGAATTCCTTGTGTGGCCATTAAAAAAAGTCAAATAACGCTCGCGGTCCATACCAGAAATCGCGAAATTACTCGAAAGCTGCAGGGGAGATCTGACTGAAAACCAGGGCGCTATTCTATGGACGCCCTCCACTTTCCAGATCGGAGAGAAGAGCGAGGCTCAGGGATATCCGAAATCCCGGCTCCCCGCCTTCACGGCTGCAGAACAGGAGATGCTGGCCGGCACTGCCGACTTCCTCGGCTTGAACACCTACACGTCCACCTATGTAAAAAATCATGCGAATAGCCCTGATTGTGTCAGTTATGCATGCGATTCCGACACAAGAGGCTCCTCGGATCCTTCCTGGTATGGGTGAGTGCATCAGCTCATTCCGTGATACGTGACGAAATCGAATGGGACTGCTGAATCTCCAAGAAATAGCTTCATTACTAAATCTCGAAAAAAGGTAACTATTACGAGGTACGTATGTACAGTATGTTTCTGTATGCAAGGCAGTAAAAAAATATGGTCAATGATTCAGTTGAGCTAGGAACTTGTAGAGTGTTCCAGAAGAGTTTATCATTCACAACCGTCTATAGCACGTGGAGAGATGAGATTACGAAGTCTGGGAGAAGGAACTGAGTAGTTTCTCGTTCTGGGGAAAACAAGCAGTCAACGGGAGAGGAAAGACTACCAGTTCCTTCAGAAACGTGAGGTTGCGTCGACATTTTCACATGCCGTTTGGCAATAATTTTAGTATTTTTGTGTCACTTCCGTAGATGGAAGCAACATTTGGCACGAAGCCAAAATGTCTGAATAGGTTGCAAAATTTAAGGTGTCCCTGATATTGCAGTCGTTATAGTCAATACGTTTTGCTCCTCGTCTGACTCCGACTCTGCTGTCCTTAATTGCAGTCTATGGACTGAAGCCTCTGAGAAGTGGTGCCCTGCCGATAATTAGATTGCTGGGTGCCTCACTTGAAGGCATAATGTTCGTAGTACAAGGAGCAATAAGACTATAGATTTTTACTCCTCTCGTCTAACTCATCTATCAAATTTGACATTGACCGTCAATTGCATATGTCTTCGCCGGCGAATCTAATGATTATGATATGCTTATAATTTATGCTCCTACTAGTTTTCTTGCGTTGCTTTTGGAATCACATGCCGATTCCAGGATTATGCAGGATCGTTTCTGAATCTCACTGTTTTATTCCCCAATAGGTCATGGATGTTCTAATACAGGGGTGTGCAACCTTTATCGGCAGTGGGCCGCATGGAAATGTGTGACTCCTGACGCGGGCCTCAGAATGCAAAAGAAAAGGCTCCCCTCTTTTGTCCTCAGGACATATGAGGGCATAAGGTCGCGCTGATTGGCCGAAGATCCTTACCTACCCCAAGGAAATTCCAACGTCCAAAAATAGCCTTTGGCATTGAGAACCTTCTTCCTCGGGACATATGAAGCACCGCCGCGTGAGAAAAAATTAGAATGAAATGAAAGGACTCAGTCTATATCTTGCTACTTAGGGTTGACCAATGTTGTGATGGGCCTTCGGCCGCTAAGTAACTTATCTGTTATCCCATAAAGCATTACCTGGCCGCAAGAAGTAGGTCCACGGGCCACATGCGGCCCACGCGCTGTGGCTTGCACACCCCTGTTCTAATAGAATGGACAAGTCGACTTAAATTCAGTAGAAATTGCTCTCAAGTTTCTGAGATGATGCTGCAAGGCAAGAAACTCTAGAGGAATTCAAATAATGCGTTTGCGATATTTCTCAACAGAGACTAAGTTATGCTTGCAGGACGGGATCGGATTGGCTGAAATTGTATCCGCAAGGAACGAGGAAACTCTTGAACTACATCAAGGACCGGTACGGGAATCCGGAAGTAATAATCACGGAGAACGGGAGCAGCGACCGGGCCGGGAACCTGGACGATGCCCTCAGGATCTATCAGCTCAAACATTACATCAACAACATCCTCAAAGGTTCCTCTCAGCCGTCCTCGATGGAAAACCGCTTACTCGGAAATTATTACGCTTGCTTTTACCAGCGGTGCTATTGGATGGGTGCAACGTGACGGGATACACGGCCTGGACACTCATGGACAACCTGGAATGGAATGCAGGCTTCTCGTAGGTACCTCCTCGGTCGTAAGCGACCGCAGGGAAAAGAGGTCGACGGGCCCTCTGATTGGTCCCAGCAGGTGACCTTTCACCTGCTGGGACCAATCAGATCAGGCGATACGTGGGAGCGCTGTTTCATTCGCAGGCAGAAGTTTGGACTGCACTACGTGGACTTTGAGGACCCAGAGAGGCCGAGGACCCCGAAGGCCTCGTCTCGCTTCTTCAGGCTGCTCATTCGAGACAATGGATTCATCAAGGAACATCTTTGTGAATATTGAGCCTTATTGCAATAAACTTATGGGATCTAATAGACATCTCATGTACCTGATTTGCATTGGCGCGCAGAAATGGGCACAACTTAGCGCATATGTGTCGTGGCTGCACCGCTTATTAGGCAGCTTCGCTATCGGAATTCATTTGAAGTACCATTTGTTCGCGATGCACCTCTTCCGATGGTTCAACATTAAGCATTGAAATCTAAGCAGCAGTAGCAAAAAGCTATGGGAGGAAAGTGGCATGGAGACACAAATATATCTGGAAAGGGCAAAGCCTCATTTGCCCCCCTCTATACGCAAGCAAAATTTTTTTTCGATTAAGAGCGTCTTCTGGCATGCCTGGCACTCCGTGTTCTTTTTTTTTTTTTAAACCAGCCTAAAGGCATTCTGAAGCTTTACCGACGTCCTGTGGGCAAGTATGTGCCTGTTGCGGGTACCTGGTCCTGTGAGAGCACGAATAGCACAGATCTACCGGCGCTATAAAACAACGCTATAAATTCCTGTATAATTTGTTACAATAATTTGTTAGTGTTGGGGGAATTATAATTCATCATACTGGGCATACTTCGAAACATGAGGACAGCTATCATACTCCCTATGAATTCTCGAGCCATCTCAAGTCTGGAGGTACTGGGTGATCCTGCATATTGGCCACAGCTGTAAATGTGCCAGATTGTAGACGGGCGTGGACGATTTCGCGTTTTCGGCGTGCCTAATAAACACGCGCAGGAAATCGAAATTGCTCGATTTGACCGATTCCACCGCATTCTGACCAAATCACCGATCCTCCCAGACGGCAGACCGCGCTAAATCGTCCTCAGACAACCGCCTGCGAACTGACGCGCCTGTTGCGCCTGTGGGATCCCTTCCGGTCGAATCCCCGAACGAGTCGATTCCCGATTCCGCTGCTCATGGAAGTGCTGTTGAAAACAAGCCACCAGATGTCTCTGTAGTCTTTTTTTTTTACCCCCTCCCTGCCCTTCGGAATTTCGCCTCCAGTTGCACTCTTTACTCTATGGTTAAATTATATTGCGACCCTGGTTGAATGAACGGATGAATGAATGAATGGGCGAATGAATGAATGAATGAATGGAGTGTCGCCTCTAGTTACGCTCTCGATGCCTTCGCCCTCCATTCAAGCTGAGCTAAGCGAGAGCAGCGACGCCGGTTCCGATTTCAGGCGCGGCTTTCGCTCGCGGGACGCCGCGAAGAGAGGTTTCTCGAAGTCCTCTGTTGATCATCTCGGGCAAATCTACCTCATCCACGGTACCTGTAGATTATTAGAAATGTGTTGCACGATCCTCACGCCTCGAAATGCTCCTTGCGTTCCTCTCTCGGGGAGCGATTCCGCGCCACCACATATTGTTCAGAGGCAAACGTTTGAAACGCCTAAATCCGAGCGGGTAAACGCGAACGGGCAATATTCACGTCGGCCATTTTTTTTTATCATGGGAAGCTGAACAGCCGAGCGTCGTTTTATCTCACGTTCCTGGATTGCATGCGAGGTGACAGGAGACGAATATTCTTTCTGCCAAGTGCTTCGCGTGGATCCGCAGAATCCCCGTGGTTGTTTTTATCAGTTGCCAGATAACTTTCACCGATCATTAGCGTAACTTACCATCGCTCTTTATTTTCCTGCTATGTCGTCGTGCATACTTAGAACGTTTTTCGTTCAGCCCATCATTAGGATTTCTGCTCTCACCTATTAAATAGATGCGGAAAGCAGGAGCGGCAATTCTCGCACTGCTGTTTACCGCGGCTCGCGCCCCGTTCGCGGACGAGCCCCTGCTCTACGGCGTCTTCCCGGACGGCTTCCGGTGGGCCGCGGCCACCGCCGCGTTCCAGGTCGAGGGGGCGTGGAACGAAGACGGTAACGTCTGTCTCGAGTCTGTGTGCCTGTAATATGACGCGGTCGTGTCCCCTTTTCACATTTTTTTGTTTTCATCTCGTGGAGCTAACGGCAATTCATAACGCGTTACGAGTTCACAAGGTATTTTTCAACAGAAACCAATCGGGTTGCGGGTACTTATTTCAATATTTAACAGAATTCTTCTCGAAAAAAGTTCAGGTTTACTTGCATGATTTCACCTGTCCCTTGATTGAGAAGAAATCAACCGTACGGTATCTTTGAATTCGTTTAATCTCATTCCTATAACTTGCTCCAATTTTTTCTTGGAGTGGTAAATATACAATCCCCCCCCCCCCCTCCCCTCCCCACTCTCCTTGAGGGAGTTTCCGCCAACAATCCTGCACGTGCGAGTTTTGCATCGTCAATCGCAGTACGTTGGGCGCGTCTTTGCGTGTGCCTTTTCTTGCAGGAGCGTCTTTTCCAGACATAGGGGCGTGAGAAATAGTGTTGCTTGGGTGACAAAAAACGTTTAGGGCTGGTTTAACACTTTCGCTCCGGAGGGTTGGTGGTCGAGGCTATTTTGAGGTCTAGAGAAAAAACTGCATAACTTCGGAACACAAAATGAGACTTCCTCTTTTTTTTAATTGAAGTATATATTGTCTGTTTTATTGTGTTAAATTATTTAAATATCAGAAAAATTTAAAACGAACGTACTGGTACGTCCGTCGGATCGAGAGTGTAAATACATCGCTGGAATTCGTCTTCAGTGGCTTGTGTCACCCTGCAGAGAAATCAAATGGTCCAATGTGAAAATCGACTCGATACTTTTAACCCATCTGTATGTGCCGTCGCCAAAATAACTAAATCCCAGGAAACAATAGTCATCGCGTTAGGGTGTGCATCCCTTCTATGCGAGCGCACCTGCAGATCATGAGGTAAAAAAAAATGCCGATCCGATTGCAATAGGGAAAGGAGAGAGCATTTGGGACAGATTCCTGCATAACTGCGCTCCGGACTGCGCCACCGGCGGCGTCGCCTGTGACTCCTATCACAAGTATCAGGAGGATGTCATGCTCCTCGTCGAGATGGAGGTTCTTTTTCTTGCTCTTCCTTTCCAAATGTGAACTGCCCTTACTTTCATAGCGACGCCGCACAGAACATTGGAGGATATACGAAGGTGAATGGAAAAGTAACGGCCGATGAGATGCTTTTGCCACATATATTTACGGTATCACAGTCATCCATTCATCTCTCGATATGTAACGATTTCGTAACGTTCTCGATTCCCCCCCCCCCTTTAAAACACTTATTTCAACGACCAACCTATATCTCCATACCTATCCGAACGTCTTCTGATTGTCCAAGCAACCGACTCGGCGCCTCTTCTTTCGCCCCGTATGCAAAAATCGCCGACATTTCCTCTTTCTTCGGTCCATTGGAATGCTAATCCAATGCTAATCCAACGCTAATCCAACGGCGCCAATTCTATAGGAGGGGTGAGCAGAACTACCCCGGATGATCCCAGAAAATGGTAATGAAATCCTTGAAGCACCCATCAATGAAAGATGGTAGCACCTCCCCTCATCATTCCTATAATACTTTGCCTAATTAAAATTTGCCTAATTACTATCACATGCTTTAATGTAATTACTGAGTTTACAAGCTTACGGCGCAGCCTTCACAAATGGCTCAATATTTGTATCGAGGTCCATTGGACCCAGAACGGTAGTTACAGGGTTAAAGATACGACAATCTTGAAGCTGATCACACCGTTACTAACGTTACCTAACGGCGCCAAGGGAGGATAATATCCTGGGAAAGAAATTCCTCGACGCAGCACATCGAACATCGTTTATCACACATCCTCGAATTTCAAATGTTAAAATTCTCCCCTGGAAATGTAAAACGTTCTCTCCCACTGAAAGTTCGCTTTATCCCAATCTTTAACTTTCTTGGGAAGGCGAGAGCCAACTCGGGGACTGGCGATTTAGTCCTGATTACCGTGAAAGGCGTCAATTCAAGCAGTAAATGAATTTTCCGATCCGTCTGAGTCACCTTCATTTCCGCGAATCCCAGCCGGCTTCAACCCGAGAAGCAATTCTCATGAGATTCAATCATGACTCCTGTCGGAGACTCATGAGGCTCCGGCTAATCACGAAAAAAGGAAGAAGCTTGTTGGGACTCAAATGACAAGGATGAATGAGACCGTGAAAGAGGGAGATCATTGCGAAGAGGGATATCACTGCGAGGAGGGAGATCATTGCGAAGAGCCACGCAGAGTCTCGATGACGAAAGCAATCCCAATTACCCGATTCCAGGAAAGAGGGAATAAAAGTTGTTCTCCCCTTGCCGAGGGGAAAGGGACCGTGAACGCCTTTTCCTGTCGCATCGCATCGTTTCCGCTGGATCGTTACCGGGGAGAACGGAACGGCCCAGGGGACTCGAGGAGGTCGGGGAGAATGCGGAGAAACGACGATATTGATATGGCTCGGGTTCTACGGGATTTCTGTCGGGGAGGTTCCTCTCTCTGGTCCGAATCAACGGGAGTTGACGGTATTTGCATTTAAAATTAGCGTTTAAAATTAGCGTTTAAAAAAGCAACAAAAAATGACGGTACTGTCCCATCTACCGGAGTCTTCATCGGGTTGGTCATACGTATGTGAAGTTATCATTCCCACCAACTGCTGTTGGCGTAAAATTCCTTTTTTTTTTTAGCTGTCTCAGTTGTCACAACGCCATTTTTAGTTCAGCTTTTCAGCCATTATTTATTTGGTGACGATTCGCAATTCCGTGAAGGTGGACCGGTACAGGTTCTCGATTTCGTGGCCCCGGATCCTCCCGGACGGCACGGCAGGGAACGTCAATCAAGCCGGGATCGATTACTACAACAACCTCATCGACGCCCTCGTCGCCAACGGCATCGAACCCCTGGTCAGTCCTTTAAAAGCGTTTTCAAGTATTATTTTTTACTAGCAAATGTCGGCGACCTTGACTGACGGAAGTCGGTAATGGGAGGCAATCGATTTCGTAGGAAGTCGGTAATGGGAGGCAATCGATTTCGTAGGAAGTCGGTAATGGGAGGCAATCGATTTCGTACGACTGATATTCTTCCTTTGCTGGAGGATTCCAGCATAAAGGGGCAAATATACGAATTGCTACAATGAAGAATAATCTGCTCTCATGAGAAAGTGGGATATGAATGCAGTTGTGACCTAACTACTGTACCTATTATGACTTAATTAGACGTGACCTAATTAATACCTATATCAGGACAGAAACCTAACTTCCAGATACAAGGCCTGCCTGGTCGAAAAATTGTACGGCCTCCGTCTTTTTGTTCCTTTCGTCTGCCTCAGCGCCCATCTATCCTTCAACCCTCGAACGAATGACCCTGAGATGCCCGAGAGTGGATGAGTGATGGATAGATGAAGGCTCCGAGGAGCGAATTGCATGAAAAGCATGAATTGCATGAAAAGCATGAATTGCATGAAAAGCATGAATTGCATGAAAAGCATGAATTGCATGAAAAGCATGAATTGCATGAAAAGCATGAATTGCATGAAAAGCATGAATTTCATGAAAAGCGCATGAAACACTACAGAGCGAATGCAAACCGTTAGCGCATCAAACCTTGCTGATGGAAACGTAGAGGTTTCGCTGTTGAAAACTTCTAGACAGGGTCCACCGCGAAAAAGTGACTCAATTGGCTCCGACTTGAATATTTCCACATCGTGTCAACGACTATGGGATCCTCTCTCCAGCATGATTCGTGGATTTTCATCCAACAGGTAACATTGTACCACTGGGACCTACCCCAAGCCCTCGAGGACCGGGGAGGCTGGCTCAACCCCGAAAGCCAAGACTGGTTCGTGGAATACGCTAGAATCTGCTTCGAGGCATTCGGAGACCGAGCGAAGCTCTGGATCACCTTCACCCAACCGTGGGAGATTGCGTGGTTCGGATACGGCGACGGACATCACGCCCCGGGCCACAGCGATGCGCCGGGGGAGAAGACTTACCAGGCTGGTCATAACATCCTTCTCGCTCACGCCAAGACTTATCGGATGTATCAGGAGGAGTTCTTCGCTTCTCAAGGCGGTATGTCTCGGGCGAAAGTAATTGAGAATCCATTCGCAGAAACCTTGTCCCTATGCGAGGAAACAGATGCAGGTGGATATGTTCTCACCCTTCACATGACCGAATTTTTCTTCATAATATTTTTTGGTTCGGCGTCGATGCTCATTCACGAACTGACCGTTGGACCGGCGGAAAGCAATGATGTATTCAATATGGGTTGAAATGGGTCCATATAGGTCAGACTCTTAGCAAGGTTTGCTTGGCCAGAAACTCTCCGAAGTTGTGCAATGAAATTTGACACAGCTGAATATGGGCGAGTACGAGTTCTGCATGACAGTGAGAGATAATTAAAAAAAATCAAGAAATAGTATGACGAGGCTGTAAAAGCGTGTGAATGAATGAATGATGAAAAGAGGAGGCTGTAATGGCTTGTCGAATGTTCGAGCGTCATGAATGGCTGCTTGGACGCTGGGAGTGTCATGAATGGCTGGTTGGACGCTGGGAGTGTCATGAATGGCTGGTTGGACGCTGGGAGTGTCATGAATGGATTCGCTCCTGCTGTAGGAGTGTGACTCCCCTTCATCCCTTTCAATCTCTCCTCGCTCCAGGAAAGAAAATCTCTTTTTCCTCGTTTTGGCTTGCAGATATCCCGACGGTATCTCCGGAGCACCTGGATGGGGTTAGTCAGACCGCAAATTTTTTTGTGCGGGCAGCGCTGCCGTGAAGGGAGAAATCACGCAAGCGGTTGAAACGTGTCAGTAGTCCAAAGTTCGCGTCGTTTCGTGTAATTTCGAGTTTAGTTATGAAATTTGGCGTCTGATCCGAGGAGTCTCGGACCGAGCAAACCAATCGAGAAAGGGCGCCTACGCTCCAAAAAAAAAAAAAAATCACTGAAATATGCACGGTCCACTGAAGGGTGTCATGACCTGTCATGACCTGGGCTCATGCTCGTACTTTCCTAGAACTTCAAATGAATTCTATCTACACAGTCTCAGTGAACAACAGTTTATTGAGCACGTCAAGGTACATGCATCTCAACAATAATACACCAGTTAAATTTTAAAAAAAACTAGCGGTTGACAGGTGCGGATACAGCTATTTTTCATATGGGGGGGGCTGGGGGGGGGGGGGGGGGGGGGGGGGGGGGGGGGAGCGGTCGCCCCCCGCCCCCCCTGTATCCGCCACTGGCGGTGGATTTATAGCGGACGGGACGATCCCTTCCGTCTCCTCGATCGTCCCATCGAAACTCCTACACGAGCCGTCATTAAATCCTAAATCAAGGGAAGAAAGAGACCTTCCAACCGTGAGGAAATCGTCGCGATCGGGAATTTCGAGCATTGAACGAGGAAAGAAAGGGAAATGCTCGGGGAGCGAGCCAAATTTTTTTTTTTTGCGTAAGTTTTATTAGTAATCGTTACAATGACCAAGTTCGCGTCTGATTGAAATGATTCGAAACAAAACAAACTCAACTTTGTGTGGGATTCCCATATAATGAAGTTTGTAACAAGTTCAAGGATGATTAAAATGTTATTAAAATGGCCTCGCCATAGACTCGAAAGAAGCAAAAGATTTGCGCGAAATGGCACCAAAATGCAAAAAAAAATTCGGATTCCGGCAGCTCTCCCAAAAGTTTTTCCTGAAATCAAAGAGTTTCTCGTGGGAACGGGAACGGGGGCGAAACCTGCTGGAGACTCCGATCGCCGACGCAATGGCGAAGCGACTCGAGGCAGGAAAAGGGAAATTGGCATGGTCACCAATTGGCTTGACCACCAATTGGCTTGACCAATTGGCAAGTTTTCGAGCTCTTTCATCGAGCGCCTGTTAAAGTTATACCTCTCCATCGGGGTCGATGTTGACAAGTAGTTGGTATGAATAACATGGATATTATATTTAAGTGGCGTTAAACGTACCGTTCACCAAGTTCACACTATTTTAACAAGTATTTAAATTAAATGCCAGTAGGTGTGCTGCCCGTGATGTCACTGAATTTAAAACAACTTTCAGGCGATTCTGCTTCTCTCTTTTGAAAAAGCAAAACAGCGCACAGCTTGTGAAAATATTTCTGTTTTGGTGCTCCAAAACAGAAATGGTGTTTTTTGTGGTTTTGGTGTTTTTGGTGTTTTTTGTGGTTTTGGTGGTTTTGGTGTTTTTGGTGCATCTTTGAAGAATCCGCTCTGATTTGTCGCAGTAAGATTTGGCTGCACTTCAAATTCGGCAGGGGAAATTCGCAGAGCTCAATTTGTGATAAATGACGATTTTCCAAGTATTTTTATTGCTACCAAGGCGGCTTGAATTTCGAGAGGAATTGAAGTCGTCATCGTGCCAGGTCGAGTGACGATCGCGCTGAACATAAATCATCACGAGCCGGCGAACCCGGCGGACCCGGCGGACGCGGCGGCAGCATCCCGCCGGACGGATTTCATGCTGGGCTGGTTCGCGGATCCCGTCTACTTCGGCGACTACCCGCAGTCCATGATCGACAAGGTGACTGATTAGTTTTTTTTTCCCAGAAAAGTCATTTAGTTATTTTAATGTTCGAACTACGCAAGGTCGCAACATTATTTGTGCGGTACATGATTTTCAAATTATCTTAATTCGCAAACCATAATGGAAGATATTTCACAAATTCACTCCTCAACAGGCCAAAGACTACGGCCCGAATGCACTAAGACCTCATTTAGGGAAATAAAGGGGCCTTTCAGCTGAGGGGCTCCCTTTCTCCCATAGGAGCCCATGTGTTCTTAAAGGACCGCTAAGGAGGCTTCAGCATCCGGGCCTCACTCCACTACAATAACACCCTTCCCGGCATGAACTTCATCTCATCCTTTCGGAACAGCTGAGAGATCACGAAGTACTTTCTCGGATGATTCTGAAAGGCACAAGCTTCAAAGGTGCTTTTCCTTGGACAAAGCAACCTTGGCAACAAAAAATTTTCTTTTTTCAGTCGAAAGTGTGAGATTTAAAATTCAGGTCTAACAACGGTTCGAGCATGAGCTGCAATAGGCAGTATTTCCACTGGGAAGAGAGAAAGGATTCGATTGCACGGGCGCCCTCCACTTTCCAGATCGGAGAGAAGAGCGAGGCTCAGGGATATCCGGAATCCCGTCTCCCCGCCTTCACTGCTGAAGAACAGGAGATGCTGGCCGGCAGTTCCGACTTCTTCGCTCTGAACTTCTACACATCTACCTACGTCAGAAATTTTGTGAATGATCCTGAATGCGTCAGTTATGCATGCGATTCCGACACAGAAGTCTTCCCGGATCCTTCCTGGTATGGGTAAGTACGAGCCCAATCCGTGATTTCCAACTTTGTAATGTCAAATAGGACGATATCAAGTGTATAACAATTATGCAAATAATGTTTATTTGCTGAAGGAAATGCATGTATTTTAACAAACTTGAGTTGCAAAAAAGAGTCTCAGGTCAGGGTCGTGGTCCTTGAAATGCTAAAGGGCACTCTCGCAGCGCGAAATGGGTTCATTTGTGCCTCGTTAATGAAAATTAGGTTTGGCTCTCAATGTTCAAGAAAAGACTCTTCTTTACTTTCGCTAATTAGATTCATGACTAATTAGATTCATGACTCGTAAAACCCGCAATTACTGAGTCTCTGAGTACGTCACTTCTCAAAATATTTACGATAAAGTATAGACGTACTACTACTTGGGGGGATAGGCTGTTTGCCTCTACTTGATAATTTATATGTCCATTCCATTGATATGACTTACTATTGATGCAGAACGGGATCGGATTGGCTGAAATTGTATCCGCAAGGAATAAGGAAACTCTTGAACTACATCAAGAACAGATACGGGAATCTGGAAGTGATCATCACGGAGAACGGGAGCAGCGACCGGGCCGGGAACCTGGACGATGCCCTCAGGATCTATCAGCTCAAACATTACATCAACAACATCCTGAAAGGTTCCTCAAACAAACAATTAATAACGTTCTCGAAGGTTCCTGCCATGTATCTTTGGTGTCTGATGATCGATGCTTGAGCCACTCTGGATGAGTAATGATGCTTTTATTAGCCATACTCCTCGGTTGCTTTTATTAGCCATACTCCTTGATGGGTGTAACGTGACTGGATACACGGCCTTCTCCCTCATGGACAGCCTGGAATGGCCTGCCGGCTTTTCGTAAGTAGTTTCATTGTTTGCTGGCCAATAAAGGGAGAAGGAGGCAATGTTGGATGTCTGGCTTTAGGGAAAAGTTTGGACTGCACTTCGTGGACTTCGAGGACCCAGAGAGGCCGAGGACCCCGAAGGCCTCGTCTCGATTCTTCAGGCAACTCATCCGAGATAACGGGTTCATCGAGGAGAACCTTTGCGAATATTGAGACTGAATCCAAGCAGCCTTTTAAGGAATCGAGTCGTCATCCTATGATCGAAGTTCATAATAAATGCCCTGTTGCGAAGAACTGCCTTGTCAGCGTTGTTTGAATTATTCGTTAAAACCAGTTGAATTTTTAATATTTTCTTCGAATGTTCAGTACTGCGATGAATGTACTAACCGTTATTTTGTTTATTTTTCGCGGGCGATTTTCGACGAGCGTGTATGGTCGTGAACTAATTGCCTGATATTCTTTGTTAAGGCATCCGTCTGAAACAGTAACTGATTAATGATATGTAATGATAACCGGATGTGAAATTAAAAATATTCCACACAAAGCACCTAAGATACGCCCAGACAAAAGATGGTTCACAAAACCTATTTTAATACATGAGCACCACCAATGCAGTTCGACTGATCCCTGCCGAGAGTCCATTAGACGAGTACCGAAATTCAGTACCGACTGGAATGGTAAAATGTACACGACACGTCTAAGACTCAAGCCGGAACATATTTAGCTCGCCGGAGTGGAAGTCGATTTTGTACAGATGGAACCAAAAACCCTGAGGAAAATAAGAAAAACAGGCTGACCATCCCAAAGCAGAGGAGAGATTTTTTATCTCCGACTTTTTTTTTTCCTTTTTTTCTCCAGAGTTTCGGAAAATCGTTGATGGATGTTCCCCGTNCAAAAGCATGGATTACCGGATTACCACATGGATTACCGGATAAAAATGCATCGTTCGTCTGCGGGCAGATTCACTCAGCCAAAATACAGACGAAGTGACCTTGACTAAAAATAGCAGACCGGTCATCCGGCGATTCCGCTGGAGAAGGCGGGACGGGGAACATCCATCAACGATTTTCCGAAACTCTGGAGAAAAAAAAGGAAAAAAAAAAGTCGGAGATAAAAAATCTCTCCTCTGCTTTGGGATGGTCAGCCTGTTTTTCTTATTTTCCTCAGGGTTTTTGGTTCCATCTGTACAAAATCGACTTCCACTCCTGCGAGCTAAATATGTTCCGGCTTGAGTCTTAGACGCGATCAGAGCCTGAATATGAAGTTTACGATTCGTCGAACTAAAATAATAAGAGTGATAATTATGGGTTTGTCTCTCGGATGGGATGAAAGAAAAGTGAAGGGAGAAAAGAGAGTTGCAGCAAGTCCATATAATGGATAGAGGGATTTGGGACAACAGGAAAGGTAAGGCAAAATATGGCTTCTCGAATTGTGACATGAACTCGACCTTTTTTTGATGGAAGCCATAACAATCGGTAGCAATCAGCTTCATGTCCTTCGATGTCTCTCAGGAAATTCCGGGAAAAGGTCATTCGTAAGGTTCATTACATAAGGGTTTCTTCATTCGGGGAAAGCATGGGTGGGAAGGGGTGGGGGCTCGCATGGGCTTCCTTCGCGATCCACCCCCTCGCTTGCACACGTGGCCCCAGAGCCTGCGAGTTGGAGGGGTGGGTAGACACCCCCCGGCCTTGGCTTATTCTCCAGGGAAAGTAGTGTTGGGGTGAAGCTGCACAGAGTTCTTATTTCCAAGCGATACCATGGAAGGGACCGGTCTCATCATGGAATTTGCATATTTATTCGTAACGAGATTCCATAGTGGAATTTTATTTCGGTAGGGAAAGGAGAGAGCATATGGGACAGATTCCTGCATAACTGCGCTCCGGACTGCGACACCGGCGACGTCGCCTGTGACTCCTATCACAAGATGTCAGAGGATGTCATGCTCCTCGTCGACATGGAGGTATCGCGCATAACGTATCAGTTCACTCGGGCATACATCCTTGTAAGCTATTTCATTTAACCCGCTCGCATCCAGTGACTTTTCGGCCGCTCAGCCCTAGGCCTCTGCTGCCTTCATCTGACGCGCGAGGCCTTCCAGCCGTTTTAGGCCATAGGCTAAGCGGAAGGAAATGGGATGTGTACCAGTACGCTTGTGGATGCGAATGGGTTCTCGTTTCTCTTCTCGTTCGGGCTCTTCGTTCTCGTCGGGAGAGACTATGAGCAAAACATTTCCAGTGTAGTTTTTAAAATGTCGCATTGTCTGGTTCACGACCGAGACAGGAACTGTATAGACTCAGCATTCGTGGTGCTGAAACGACATAGCAAAATAGTCCCCCGTTCTGTTGCTAACCTCTCGGAAACTCTCTTATCGAGTCATTGATCCTTTCAACTCCTTCAGGAATTACGATGAAAAAAATTTTTTTTTTTTTTGCAAGGTGGACCGGTACAGGTTCTCGATTTCGTGGCCCCGGATCCTCCCGGCCGGCACGGGAGACATCAACCAAGCCGGGATCGACTACTACAACGACCTCATCGACGCCCTCATCGCCGAAGGCATCGAACCAATGGTCGGTCCGTCGATAGCATTTTTTTTTTCAGAAACTTTCTCGGGAACTATAACGAAATTACGGTCTTTCTGCGGGGAAGGAGCTGCAATCCCACCTGACAGCAGAAATTATTTAATAATAAAGGTTTAATATGCAATAATTAATTAACATTAACCTATAAAGGACATAGGATCCCATAAGATTTTCGAAACATAATAATCGTATAGGATTCTTATAAGATTCCTATATGATTCCTATAGGAATCTGTAAGAATCCTATGAGATTTTTCATCTCATAGGATTTTTGAGCTTTTTTGAGATTCCTATGAGATTTTTCATCTCATAGGAAAGCTCATCTAAAGTAAAATGGCACTTGTGTCCGTTCTTGCACCAACCCTTATTACGCGACAAGGAAAGCAAGGTCACACTTCGGACGAACTATCAGCGGTGAGCCAGAGCCGGACGCCGAGGGGCGTCCATGCACGAGCGCCACGCAACGATGCGGATGGAGCGGTCTATCGGGACGAACTCGTGTGAAATAGGGAAATGATAATAATAAATTGCTTCGTGTGGTTTGGTTTTTATGATGGGGGTACTTGTAGCATACGTAACATATGATCCATCGAATGACAGGAATTTAATATAAAGCACATATCGCCTGGCCAAGACATTCAACGACCTTCAGTCACGCTGTAATAGCTTAAATAGTCACACTGTACTGGCTTAACACTGTAATGTCACACTGGGATGGCTTAACACTGTAATGTCACACCAATGGCTTAACAAGAGGTAGGTCTGCATGGCTTGCTAAGCAGATGAAGTAGAAATTCTTCCCAATAATCGTGAGCCACGGTATGATAAGTAATTAGTTTTATGCAGGCCGGGTATCGAAAATCGGGTCGATTGTGCTCTAATGATATGCAAATTACTCTAAAGCAATTTAACGGTTTGAGAGCCTCGCCAATGGACTGAGTCGTCTTCAGGACCAAATGCCGAAAGCCATTGGCTTCAGAATTGGTTTTCAACGCGGATTGTCGGCTACCCCTCCATTGGCGGTTTGTTGTGGGCCTTGTATTAATTAGTTTCACTTGGTACTAAGACTAAAATAATTTCTTTTCTGCTAAATTGCCGCTGCAATTTAGCAGCTGAATTGCTACTGCGTTTTTGCAATTGCAACGGACATCTTGACTTTGAAAAATTCATCGTAAGATTTTTTTTTCTTATAAGGAAAGGATAAGTTTTAATTTGCTAAGGAAAATACTTGCTGTATCGAAAATTCCCTTTTTATTTCACTGGATGCACTTCTGGTGCAAACCAAAGTACGATAAATATAATTTTTTAATAAAATAAATCAGCATTTTTTTTTACATAACCATAGAAATTAAAAAAAGAGGTGATACGAGAGAAATCGCATCAGCAAGCCGAACTGAAAAATAACTGGGAAATTAATTACTGGAATGAGTTTCCCTGAAGGCGGAAAGTCATCTCGAAAGGAAGCCGGCCTGATAAAAGTAAAATCGAGCTTGAGCCGAGCTAAATTGGAGCCACAACTCATCGCGTAATGGATATAAATGCAGGGCTTTAGCTCCTCAAAACGGCTGAGGCCCTCAACTACGAGTTCAACCCTGATCGGGATGAGAAATGGTAGGGCAGTGAACCCTCGCTCACCCCTACCCTCCCTCACCCCTACCCTCGCTTACTCCCGCCCTCGTTTACCGGTAGCTTTTTCCTCTCGACAAATCTTTCCCCTTAAGTTTATAATGGGCTCACCCCCGATATAGCACCACCCTCGCACCATCTGTCACCGTCATTAGTATCATAAAAACATGGTTCTCCCCCATATAATTCCTCCTCGGTTTTTCCCAAGAAGCGTACGTGCCGCAACCCTTTTCCACCGCCTGGCAGATTGCTCGCCCAACCCTGAAACCACAAGTCTGCCTCGCCTGCCCAAAATATCAGGCTTCTCCGCGTTTCAATGCGCGCGGTTCCCCCCGCCCCGAAATCCCGCAACGGGACCGCCGCCTTCTTTTTTATTTCTCCGCATGCCTCGTCCTCGAAGCTCGGACTTGATGCAGTATCATCTGCAAGTGCCAATTAATTATGATGCAAAAGGATTTACTCTCGGCGTAAATTCAGAAATTGCAATCTGCTGGGCGTTTGTGCCATAGTTTGTGCCATAGTTTCCCAGCCATTCTCTGCCTTTGATCCTGGTATCCTACCATCTTCTGGATATCTTCGTAACATCTCTTGGCACCCTGATTTATATACTGTATATGTATATTTATTTATTTGATTTGATTATATCTATTATTTATTTATTGTTAGTTTTTAAAAAATATATATTATATATATCTATATATTTTAAATTAAAAAAATATTTTTTTAAATAGATTTTTCTATTTTTATATATTTTAGAATATATATATATGTTTTTTTTTATGCTTTTTATTTTCTTAATTATATCCATTCATCGTATGCGTGCAGTTACGTTCGTGATGCCGGAGACGAATCCATTCTCGTTCATGCGTTACGAGAACGAATGGGAAAGCTCTTTCGAGGTCGTGGCACGATATACAAATGTTCCAATCATCACATTTTCCTCCGTTCCCGATTCAGGTGCCGACGAAGAAATTTGAAGGAAAAAAAAAAAATTATATAATGCACTCTCGTCCCCGCAGACCTCCATGCCTAAAAAACGAGACGAGTCCATTCAGATCCTGCGTTTATACATTTCCTCTGGAATGGTTTCGCAGAATTCTTACACTTGGCACTCATCCCCTTTTTGACAGAAATTAAACTCTAGAAAGCTGAAAGTGATGAGGTTACGCGACCCAATCGACCCGGAGGGTTTTTTTTTTTTTAACCCCATGAGTTGTACAAGTATATACACTGCCGGTAATAAAAAAAATATTTATCACATTTTATTCATCACATTTTTATCATTATTTAACACATCACTGTTGCGACGCTACAGCCACCAAACTTCATTTTATCATTTATTGGAGATATCGAGCGATGCAAATCACCCTCCGACATCCCGATGGCGCGATGCGATCACGTGACGGCCACGTGACACGGGAGGGTGTAACGCCGCCGAGTGCGTCGTTTTGGCGGCTCGTATCAGCCGGATGCCAGGTATCATAGGTAGGTATCATGCCAGGTATCATGTAATATCATAGCATCAACTATCTCCAATAAATCATCAAATTTCGGTGGCTGTAGCTTCGCTCGTTCTAGGTGTTCCAACTTTTTTTTCGCGGCAGTGTATTAACGTTCTTGGTGCCGCGGGCCGATATTTTCGGCCGCGAAATTTCTTCTCACTGGTTTGGTGGTGGTTCCTTATAGGGCTGACAGAGGGCAGTGTTGTAGAGGGCATAGTTTGTAAAAGGCTGAATACTTTTTCAGCGAAAACAGGCGTGCACTTTTCGCACATCTCTCGTCGGAAAGCGTGGTACATAGAGGGTTAAACTGGAGGAATTTTACATGCTTTAGTTGTTTTTCTTTTCCCCCATAAAATCTTAATTTAAAAAATCTTAATAAAAAAAAAATTTTACTTCCGCGGAACTAAGCAGTTGGATTTTTTTTTTCAGGTAAAAATCTTTTGAGGGATGAAGCACAAACCCTTTCTGCCGATTAATAAATTTCGTGGAGTGAGGGGAAAAAAAATTATTTTCTGAGAGGAATTCGGCATAAATGGAACCCCAAATTATGGGGAAAATCCATATTTGCCATAATTCAAGACATACGTTATCACAGACAGATTATTTCCACGTTCGATGCCGTTTTGAATCTGATTTTCGTGGCCCTGGCTCTCCGTTATAAGTTGACTTTATTGCTTTCCCAGCAGTTAATGTAGAAAGAAGCCCTCACCCGAGGAAACAATGCAGGCATAAGTTTCTTTCCGCTGTGAAAAAATCTGAATTTTAATTTTAATTTCGAATTTTAATTTTTCAGTGAATGTAACAGTGTATGCAGCATATCAATGTATATTATGATATTTTATTGATAATATCCGGATTTCATGGAAATAGGTGACCCTGTATCACTGGGACCTGCCCCAAGCCCTCGAGGACCGGGGAGGCTGGCTGAGCCCCGAGAGCCACGACTGGTTCGTGGAATACGCTCGAGTCTGCTTCGAGGCATTCGGGGACCGAGCGAAGCTCTGGATCACCTTCAACGAACCCTGGGTGGTCGCGTGGATGGGATACGGCACTGGGGGAGGCGCCCCGGGCCACAGCGATGCGCCGGGGGAGAAGACTTACCAGGCTGGTCGTAACATCCTTCTCGCTCACGCCAAGACTTATCGGATGTATCAGGAGGAGTTCTTCGCTTCTCAAGGCGGTAAGTCTCAAATAAATCAAATTTGAGAAGCGACTTACGAATCTGCGTTTCAAGTACTTGGTGTCCATAGATCAGTGGCAAGTACTATCATATTTTCCTTAATTTCTATTACTCAAAGGTACATTCGATCCTCGGTGCGAGTGGGTTTCAGCGACTAATGAAATCCGTGCAAATTTTAGTAGCATTTATCGTTTTGGCGTGCTCAATTGCGAATCGGTGTACTCGCTCGGAGTATTAAACTCAATGCCATGATTCCCGAGCACTGTCTTTCCGCAATAATTATTTTCTAGCTGAAAGTATAGAAAATTAGCTCACAAGATTCCTTACGCCACCGAATTAGCAGTTATGATTGCTGGGGGAAGCCAGTTCATGGCTGGGTCAGCTTCTATTTTCCCTGGAGTTTATTTGGCCGAAGGCTTCCGGTCATTTCCCGAAATGACGGTGACGCTGGTCCTTTCGGAGAAGTTACTTGGCTATATCAGCTCTCGGGCTTCCTGACACTGAGAAGATCAAATTTCGCAATGGAAAAAATGAACTACACCTCTCTTTCATCGGGATTTGTAAGATTCAGCAAAAAAAAAAAAAACCACTTTGCTTAAAGTAAAAAGTCACCATAAAGCATCTTGAAATCAAAATGTTTTTAATATGCATTAGCCAAATTTTTTTTTCATTATGGACGCATTCACGAACCTCGCTCAAATGATCAAAATCACTGCAGTACCTTGCCTTGACGCACTTTTTCTTCGGAACGGAATTGAAAACTAAGCACGCCCTAAGCATCGCAAATCCTCAAATCTTGAATAGGTCGAGTGGGCATCACGTTAAACACGAACTACCACGGACCCTTGAACCCGGCGGACCCGGAGGATGTGGCAGCGGCAGCCCGCCAGATGGAGTTCGACCTGGGATGGTTCGCCGACCCCGTCTACTTCGGCAACTATCCGCAGACCATGATCGACAAGGTCTACTATCCTTAATAAGGCGATTCTTCCCCTTAAAGTAGCATTCTTCACTAGGAGATTCCTGGCTAAATTATTAAATCAAATTATTAATACTAGTCTGTTATGTTGCAACACGATAAGGGCAATTATTCCCTACTTCATAAAACCACCTGAAAGCCATCAAATGCATCTGTATTCAAGACTCCTCCAAGGAGATTGTCTCATCCTTTCCTAATGGATCAGGCAGTGAACGAATTTCTTGAAGTCGGCAGCGCGAAAGACATCCACGCCCTCCACTTTCCAGATCGGAGAGAAGAGCGAGGCTCAGGGATATCCGGAATCCCGTCTCCCCGCCTTCACGGCTGAAGAACAGGAGATGCTGGCCGGCAGTTCCGACTTCTTCGGTCTGAATACCTACACGTCGTCTTACGCGAACAATTTGGTACACGATTCGGAGTGTGTCAGTTATGCATGCGATTCCGACACACAAATCTCTTCGGATCCTTCCTGGTATGGGTGAGTGTACCTTGATTCAAATTTAGCAGAAAAAAGTAATCACAATTCATGAATGAATATTTTAAAAATATATACTCGATAAGGCACGAGAATGACTTCTACTAGTGCGAAATAGTCCTTTCTCGTGCAACGAGCTGTTCTGAAGAATCGTGAGCGAGAATGAATCTAGATCAAACATTGATCGAGCTCTCATCCTCAAAATTCTTGAAAAACCAATGAAGAACACATAGCCGACCCAGGAAAAATGCTTGCAAGTTGCAAACCTATACATGGCAGTGGGAATTGACCCTGTGCCATCGAGATCACATTTCTATCATCGAAATGCAATTTGCTCTGGAACACCTTAAATTGAAAGGAAATCGAGTGAAGCTCGTAGACATGCACGCTAATCATGGCCGATGCTTGAGGTACCAATAATGTATCAATTGCCGCTGCAAAATCAAAATCTGTCATCGTCACGTGAGGAAAAGGTGAGGACGAAAAATCGCCTCTCGGCGGTGACATATTTATGTGCCTCGTGTAAGGGCAGCACATGCATAATTGACACTAATATTAATTATAATTAAAATAATTACACAGGATTCAAATCCAAGCAGTAGTCAGACATAACGTTTACCACTATCCGTCGACGGTTTATATCTTCCTAGACGATTCTTGTCTCTAATTACCTTGTTTTTGGGTGCTCCATCTAACACAATTCTTGCTCTGTCTTGTGCATCAAGGTCATGGGGGTCTAGTGCAATGCTCGAATAATGACTGAAATTGTGCACACCTGATCTCAAAGCGAAGACATTAAGGAGGGGAAAGGAGAGAGAGACATTACTTGTTTTTCAGCAGAGGCAATCTAATATTTCAGAACGGGATCGGATTGGCTGAAATTGTATCCGCAAGGGATGAGAAAACTCTTGAACTACATCAAGGACCGGTACGGGAATCCGGAAGTGATCATCACGGAGAACGGGAGCAGCGACCGGGCCGGGAACCTGGACGATGCCCTCAGGATCTACCAGCTCAAACATTACATCAACAACATCCTCAAAGGTTCCTTCACTCCATCTGTTCGTGATAGTTGAATTGCGGCTGAATTAGAGAGAATCGCTTTCATTAGCGGTGCTGTTGGATGGATGCAACGTGACTGGATACACGGCCTGGTCGCTCATGGACAATCTGGAATGGTCCTCTGGCTTCTCGTGAGTGCTTTCGCGACTGTTTTTCTCTTGGATCAGACATTTTTATATATTGGCTTGATTGCCTATAGCATAGTAGGATAAGTTGGAGCGTTATTTTGAGTTCTCATTTTAATTATCACCAGGCAGAAGTTTGGACTGCACTTCGTGGACTTCGAGGACCCAGAGAGGCCGAGGACCCCGAAGGCCTCGTCTCGATTCTTCAGGCAACTCATCCGAGATAACGGGTTCATCGAGGAGAACCTTTGCGAATATTGAGCCTGAATCCAATAAACTGCTCACGCTATCGAATACCTAATTTGCAACACGATTTACGAACATATTCCGATACGCTCGTAATTCATATAGTAAATAATAATAATATGTAAATAAATACACGGTTTAATCTGATTTGACCCACTGCCTCATATGGGCTGAATGCCAGCGGTGGCTTAGGATGAAAGGCGGATGGAAGACAGAAGAGCCTTAAGCTTGGGCGGGAAGCCATTCACGACATCAATTTCAATTTTTTCCCCCGCGTTCGAGCCACTTTGCACATGAAAAGGCCATGAAAAGGCCTCGTCGAAAAGGTCGAGGCGAGTAGGCGAGGTGAAAGGAGGTCGACTTCGCCCGATGTAATTTACTGTAATTTATTGTAACGTAAGTAATTTACTTCATTTGCTTCGAGATCGATCATTTCCGCCAAGTCTTTCCCGATGAATCCTTTTTAATCTCTAATCCTTTTTAAAAGCCGGACTTGAGGATTATCTGCCTCCCTGACAGGATGAAACATTTCACTGTCATTTCCCTGACGTGTCAAGTTCACACTTGAAGGTCGCCACAGTGTTGCTTCACAGTGGTCCCTCAAACATAAAAGGGAGTCTCAGGGATCTCGAAGAAATCCCACAAAAGTGACTAATAGAACGGAATCGCTTTATTATCTTCATCCCCGGGGCTTGAAAGCGTTCGGTGGGGGTCAATAGGAAAAACAAAAAAAAACGAAAATTTTTCAGGCGTGACAACAAATACGCGCAGAGGATTTCCCGGGATATCTTGAGCAGAGAAAACAAATTTTTAAAATATTATGCTGTGAGTTTTGTGACGTCGCCGAGGGCGGTTGAGCTTAACGAGACTCGACGCGGGACGCTTAAGGACACCTTTTGAGCGTGTGACGGACGGTGACGGTGTGACGGAGGTGCGCCGGCTTCTCATCCTTGATTGGTCCTCACGGTCCCTGGCTGCGAAATGCTGGGCCGATCTGCTTAATGATAAAAGTTAGCAAATACATATAATTAAAATATAATTAAAAGATGAAAACAAGAAAAAATGAAATAGCGAAAATGAAAATAAAAAATATATAGAGAGACAAAAATATGAAGATAAATTAACAAATAATATATTTAAATATGAAAATAAAAAATAAAAAATAAAATAAAATGAGAAAAATAAACAAAATGAAACGAGTAAATATTTAAAAGTTGACATTTAAAATAAAAAGCTTTAAATATACAAAAACAATTCATAAATAAATGAACCATATATGAAGAATGCGATCCGGACTGCAGGACGAAAAGCCAGCTTACTCAAGCAATACCCCGTCGTGTAGATGGTGATGTCGTCGAGGGCGAAGCCGCCCTTGGTGGCCAGGCCCTCGAACAGGATGCGGAAGCGCTGGTCGATCTTGATCGGGACCTGGCCGTACTGCCAGTCCTGGTTGTCCAGCTGGAAGGTCTGGATCTCCCACAGCTGCGGGTGAGGGTGTACGTTTTGCGGTTGTTACTTATTATGTGATGAATGATACATAATAAATAATAGACGGAAAATTTAATCATTTATTTTTTTTATAGTTGATCATGCTTGATTATTTATTTTATTTGTAGTTAAATTTGTGTCAGATGGATGCACACTGGCTGTTTCCTACAACTGGAACACATTATTAAATGGTACGTATAAATAATATAATAAATAGGTAACTGACTAATAACTGACTTTTTCACGCTTAACCGTTTTTTTTTGGCACTCATGAATTGATTGACAAATTTTCAATTTCCAGATTTTGAATCCTTCGCTGAAAACTACCAAGTTTAGTCATTATTTAGATATTTTAGATACATATAATTGTTTGCACTCAGCTGATAATAAAATCCGGAGCATCCATGCAGAGAAACGTCTTTCCTCGCAAGCGAATGCGAAAAAAAAAGAAGCATTTATCGAAAATGCAACTTGCCACGAAGCAGCGCCTAGAGTAGCTTGAGATCGAGGGCCAGATAAGGGGTTAATCATGGAGAAATGTTGAATCTTTTTCAATGTGGCCCACTCAAAAGTGGACCAAAGTGGCCCTCAAAAAAGGGACCACTGGTATATATAATGTGATAATCACATTTCACATAATGTTAAATGTACTTACAGGCTGAGTAGTGTTGGCCGGATTGGGCCTGTTGTTGCCGTTGATGTTGTTGGTCGTGTCCTCGAGGGCGTTGCCGAGGAGCTGCTTCACCCGGAGGGTCGTGGAGTCGCCGGTGCCGAGGGGTTTGAACCAGAAGGAGAGGCAGCCGTCGGAGCCGGCGTTCTCCACGCGCTCCATCACGGGGCTGATGAGGCTGGTGCGGCGTTGGTTGCTCACGTAGATGTCGAAGTAGGCGTAGCCGCCTGGGGGGTTTTCAGGGGGTTTTATGGTTTTTTCCCCCAAATTCTTATTTTAATATTTATTTTTTAACATTTTTCTTTACATATTTTTTAATTTAAAATGTTATATGTTAAATTCTACATAATAATTTTTTCTACGCATTAAGTTTTTTTTTTACCGATTATCTTAATTTTTTAAATTCTACATTGAGATCATAGGTTAAAAAAAATTTTTTTTTCAAGTTTTGAACTCTTTCTATTCCAGGTTGGAGCTTCAAGTTCACAAATATGATATAATGAGCGATTTTTACCGTCAGGGCTGTCGAAGGTGTGGTCGTTCGGCGCTCGAGGAGGTTTCCGCGTCCCCAGAGCCAATTGCCAATTGTCGCTCGGGATGTTGCTGTCGCTCGTCGTCCTGTAACCGCAGAGATTTCGATCGAAATAGCAATTCCCCTTCATCATCTTGGCCTGCTCCGGCAGCGCTGGAACGACGAGGCAGAACGTATCCGTGAAGCATGCAATCAGCATGGCAATATTGCCGGAGCGAAAACGAAGCAGGAACGAACTGTTGCACGTAGCATCATAGAAGGCAATGTCATCGATGGCGATGTACCCGGCTCCAGCTCGACTCGATCCCCACATCCCTTCGAAGACCACCTGAAGAAAAACAAGGGCCAATTGAAGAGTTGCAAAAGCCAATTGAGGAGTTGCAAAAGCCAATTGAGGAGTAGCGAGAGCCAATTGAGGAGTAGCGAGAGCCAATTGAGGAGTTGCAATGGGCCAATTGGAACTCCTCAATGTCCAATGGAGAAATTGCAATGGCAAATTGAGGAGTTGCGAGGCCCAAAGTAGGAGTTGCAAGGGCCAATCGAGGAGTTGCGAGGGCCAATTAAGGAGTTCCGTGGAAAGGGAGAATTATGAGCAAAAGACAATTCCGGGCATAGGGGAAAATCTTCTTAGGGCTTCCACGTGATTGATTAGAATCCAGCTGATCCGAACTGCTTCTCCTGAAGTGCACATCTAAACCGCCTTTGGATTATTTCATCACAGTTGAATCGAAAGTGCGGCCCAGGCTGGCCCAAGTCTCTATGAGGCTCTCACCTCAAACAGTTCGGGGCCCACTGCTCTAACTGCCGGTGGACCAAAGAGCCCACCGGCATTAAATGGAATTTAAAAAGGGGGTTAAAAAAAAAAAGAAGTTTTTTTAAATTTGTTCTTTGATCCTCAATTCTCGTCGATGCCAGGAAGCAGACGCATCGACAAGAGGAAAAGGGAGAGAAACGTGGGAGGAGGAGCCATCTCCTCCTCGAGGAGCCATCTCCTCCTCGAGGAGCCATCTCCTCCTCGAGGAGCCACTTCTCAAAGATGAAACCAAGCGTCCCCCTTCCACCCTTCCCAACACGATAAACCAAGAGGAGCATTGCCCGGAAATGACTTCCAGCAGCAGCATGGATCGCATCGGCCCTCTGCGAGAAACGAGCCGGAATGCAAATACAACTCGCAATTTGCACGCGGAAACAGGCTGCATCTCGTTGCAAATTTTACAAGTTATTTATATTCGGTTTTTCGATAGCCCAGCGGAAAATTCCCTTCGAATTTCGAAATTTTTTTTTCCAAGATGCAATTTGCCCCGTCACGAGAACAATCTCCGGCCTCATCCCTGTAATTCTGCATCCTGTGATTCTGCATCCTGTAATTTTGCATCCTGTAATTTCGCATCCTGTAATTTCGCATTGAGGACTCACTTGGATCTCGTCCAGGAGATTCGGGACGACGATCGGCACTTGGGCGTAGAGCCAATTCTGGCCTTGGTGGTTATTCAGCCGCCAAATCGTATCGACGACGTCTTCTTGCCCGTTCACGTTGCTCATCGTCTTCATCATCACCTGGGTGCAAATTATCACATGAAAATGCGAAAAAAAATCACATTTGCTAGATCATTCATTCAGAGAAAAATTTGCTTGCAAAATTCAAATTTTTTTTCTCGGACTGCAAGTTTGCAACATGTTTATTAGTCTCGGCTGAATCGCGTAAATTTTGCGCATCGGAAGTCTCGTTGCAACGATGGAGCCTGGCCCACCTTGAGAGACCCCAGATTGGGCCCATTGGCATCGATGAACGGCTCCATCATGAAATACCAGAAGGTGAGGCATGTCCGGCCCTGGGAGATCCGGTTCCGGTCCGGCCTCAAGGTGATCCAGGACCTCTCGCCCGGGTTCACCTGGGCCTGTCGGGTCAGCGTCAGGAAGTATCCTGTCGGGAGTGGGTCAACGAGGGTTCAATCAAGGACCAACCATGGTTCAATCAAGGACCAACCATGGTTCAATCAAGGACCAACCAGGGTTTAATCAAGGACCAACTTGGGTTTCGTTAGGGGTCCGCTACGGTTTAATTAGGGACCAAGTGGGGTGAGGAGGGAGACTCAGGATGATTCAATTAGGGACCCACAAG